TCAAGTTTATATATTAAGTAGTATTTTAAGAAAATATAATTGACTACAAGGCTACAAAGATTTATAACCAATTAAAATATTGATTAAGAAAATAGAATAAAAATTATTAAATTAGATTCAAATGTTGTTTTAATATAAATAACAATTTTTTAAACCTTGTTCAATCCCTTATTGTTTTATGACTACATGATTAGGGTTGTTAAAAGGACTCTTTGTTCGTGAACAGCTCGTGTTCGGCTCGTTAAGCAAACGAGTCGAACACGAACACACTTTTTGAGCTCGAAATATAAACGAGCCGAACACAGCTCGTGCTCGGCTCGTTTACACCCCTAGCAGGGCGTGATATTGGGAATATTCTTATTTTACATTTGGATGCAGACAATAACTGCTACATAACCATGATAGATGATTTGCTTCAATGAGCCATCTGCTTTATTTTAGTATTTAATTTTCATCTTTCCTTTTCTCATTCAAATAAAATAATGATAATATTTTTTAGTTTTCATCCAATCATAATCTCACTGCAGCTTCGCTGTGCTGTTTTGTTAATTGAATGCTTTCTTGCAGAAAGGATTTCTGATTGGAAAAATGTAGTTATCGCCTATGAGCCAGTTTGGGCTATTGGAACCGGCAAGGTTGCAACCCCAGCTCAGGCCCAAGAGGTAAATTCTACTGAAATCTTACATCGATTTATCTGTATTTGTCGCCTTTTATTTTCCTTTGTTTGATACCAAAGTGGTAGTTCATGATTTTTTGATTGAAGCATACGGAGAGTTGTAAGTGAAGAGATGCACACGTAGAATGACTTGATGCTTTTTTGTATGAGGATTGTTTATGGTCAGTTATTTGAATAATTAAACAAGTGCAATCAAAATTTTAAAATCTCATGAGATTGAACATTGATTCACATATTTATTTATGTTCATGCATATGCTCATATATTACTTGGTTGAGTATTGCACTAAAGTTAGACAACGTGCTCATTTAATGATGACATAATATTTATTTGATTGCTTTTTCGATGTTCTTGTATCAATTCTTAAATTTATTTTATTAAGCTATAGCTATGATGAAAATAACAAATGAATAGCTATGCAAATTTAATAATTTTCTTGTTAAATTTACTTTACCAAAAAGTTTAAATAATACCATTTAGGATGTATGCTAATTTTGCTTAAAATGTATAAATACATTTATGCTTCCGCCATTAGGCTATATGTTTAAATTATTAGCATCAAACATATAATTATTCTTAATTAAAGCTCTATTATAGCTCAAAATCTGTAATAAAAAACTAATAAACAAGTTTGGATGAGATTTTCAAACCTCGAGCCATATATATGCTTGGTCCAAAATTGAAAAGTAAATTATATTATGAACTTGAACAAGATTCTAATCAACTGAACTTGGTTGATTTACAGCCCTAAGCATATGCCCAAAATTGTTTATTTATTGGATCATTTAAATCCTGCACTTCATTCACCACCTTTGGTGTATCTTTGGAATTTTCTTAAATTCTTTTTCCAACTTGTGTTTTGAAAATATCCAAAATTTTTTTTTTTTTTTTTTTTTTTTAGGATGCCGAGCCTTTCAAGTTTTGAAAAATTTTGAACAAAAAAAAA